TTTCATTGACTGTTTTTCAAAGACAAAGATAGTAACAAGAAAATTGTTACCTGTAATCATCTCATAACTACTTGCTCTCTTCTTTAGGTAGCTACAATACGGGGGAATAACTTCCTGTAGAAATATCACATCTGGGCTGTACCTTCAAAACATCAATTTATAATAAATACCAAGTATACTATTTCATTTGCTGACACCTAGATTAGCAGAACACCACAACATAAAAGAAACACAAAGCTACTGCCCCTTAGGGCACCTTAACACTCAATGTTTATACTGATATTTGGTAACTATAAAAAAGATCTGTGCTATTTAACAAATACCGTACAAATAAATTAAGTTAGAAAAACATACGTCCTAACACTTTAAAGTGAGAAGAACTGGAATCCCTGACAACAGGAATCAGTATATGGAGAGCCTACGAGGGTCCTATACTACAGTAGATGCCTTCCAAGTTACGAATCCTCATGAAACAATTATCCATAAGGACACCGAGCTGTAGAGAACCCTGGTGGTTCACAGGGGACTACAGAAGGTCATACAGCTAGTGTGTAGCAGATACAGACCATTTTGGTAATTTAATTTTCAGAGCAGTAATTATATACAAGGTTTATTAAGTAAAACAGTATTAGAAGCCTTCTAACAAAAGTTAGTGCTCCCTCCCCACCTCGTCCATACTCTTGCTCTCAGAGGCAATCACTCTCCATTCTTTACGTTTCTTCTGGAACTCAGATCAGATTCCAAAACCCATAATCTCGACCATTACCCTCTTTATAGATAGGTAAGCCACGTAATCATGCTACCATTGAACCTAAGCAATAATACTTACAAAGTTAAATAGGAACACACCCCTCGAGCCCTCTCTTGCAGACTGTTTAGATCCAATCCATCAATATTCCAGGTAATGAAAGAGAACACGCTGCCGTCTTCTTGCTGAATCCTTTCAGATGTACTGGCTTTAGAACTAACGGAATCAGTTGTCTCTTCATTTGTTAGGTCAACACTGGCAGGATCACAATGAAACACAACTCTGCATATTATCTCTGAGCTGATTAATTTTAAATTATTATTTTCTATTAGTAACCGTCATCTTGTGTAGAAAGAAATTTTGTAAACTATGACCTGAAATTAGACTACATAGTGTAAGATTTCCAAATCTGGATTCACTTTAAATCATATGTGAAATGTATGAAACATGTGAAATTAGATCTCATTGTGAGTAACAGCTGCGAATTCTTTACCAGTCCCCTCACTGGAAGGTGAGGTCTAACGCCTCTCCCCCCGGACTCTGGGCTTTACTGATTCACTTGACCAACAGAATACGGTGGAAAGGCAATCCTGGCACTTCTGAGGCTTGGTCATATGAAACTTTGCAGCTTTCACTCAAGCGTTTTTGACCACTCTCCCCCAAGAGATCACGTAAGTCTGACTGCCTGACACTACCATGCTGGAGAGGCCACACGCACAAGCCCCAGTCCACAGTCCTGACGCCACCTCGCACTATCCCCACCAAGGCAGGTATTTGAGTGGAGGGACAAACCATCATTAAAAGGTGACTGACAAGCAGTTAATCACAATACATAAATTTAAGAAATAGGTTTTTATACTTATAACATTAATAAATTTAATGTAAATAATTTAACTTTTTAATTAAAAAGTTTATTGAGATATAACTGACATATTATATTCATTCCAGGTGCACAACATAATGATTTCGTATTTGTATACGTTGTAAAGTGACCACCATGATCAATCGTTAACTTACTATTTTAACTTCTTATTTGGAAATAATAACAGACTTTCAGTAAAACAGTATTAAGAATTATTTTCACCATTCACCCACATAAATGTTAACATCTCACTTCCTTAACGTTTACCTGCTTTGCTCTTTTTATTGAGATGTTTGCAGAAGTACCTTTGTATGTACCTCCTAGAAACAAGGACAGGCTTACATGTCTACCTAGCATTACTGCGCATTAGAAAGTTATCACTTATACAACATTATCATATAATTTTAAGACTTATTCAAATTTTGCCAATTGTGCCACTAACGTTCTAGTTTATCGTTCTGAGCTAGGGAACTCCTCCCTTTAACCATTACTCAGCTGGATTCACATTTTTTCTGTGGGATTATTTCAAGGAATCCATTTCCTCTGTCTCAACGTCTTCTCTTTCTTTCTTTCTTTTTTAAGATTTTAAACAGGCTCTCTACCCAACATGGGGCTTAACTTACAACCCCAAGATCAAAGGTCACATGCTCTACCAACTGAGCCAGCCAGGCACCCCCAGCACATACTTTTTTTTTTTTTTAAAGTAGGCCCCACGTCCAAAATGGCGAGGGCTTAAACTCACCACCCTGAGATCAAGAGCCTCTGTTCCAATTTCTTTATTGGTTATAATTTAGGTTGCAAGTGATGGAAATTAACTCGGGCTCCCATGAGCAAAATAGAAGCATTTAGAAGGCAACAGAAACATGTCACAGAGCCAGGTATGGAAATTAACTCGGGCTCCTATGAGCAAAATAGAAGCATTTAGAAGGCAACAGAAACATGTCACAGAGCCAGGTATGGGAATGCGGCTATCCCGGAGGAAATGCAATCGAGGCTTTCTCTTGATTGGACTCCACTGACTCAATTTCCCTGGGCTTCATTCTCCTTCTGCAGAGCACCATTCTCAGCTTCCCCACAAATACTAGGTTCACGTTACTGTTCCAGCTCCACAGGAAGATTCAGACTGAACTCGCTTCCTCCCGATCTGGAAATCCCAGGAGAGAGGATCTGACAGGCCAGCTTGAGCAAGGCGAATACCTCAACAGGTGAGGCAGAGCTCTGTCACCGTGGATGAGGGGACAACTCCCCCAATAACAGGCTAGTCAGGGAAAGGAGCCTAAAGAAATGATCTTATTACATCTGTAAGGTGGTGCAGCTGAAGAGATCAAAGGCACAAGTGTCTTCACTATGAACAGTTAACTCTGCAGGCTGCCCATATATCCGGGAGAACTTTATATAGATTTATTAAGAGCTTATTACACGCCAAATATTGTTCTAGACTTTGGGGACTTAACAATGTACAAAACAGATACTAACTTTCCCAAATGGTAGTTTAGTGGGAGACAGAAAACATTAAGTAGCAATTATAATATAAACTTACTGTGAATGGCTCATGTAGGATGCTGCAAGATTACCCACAAGGGAAAACCTACCCAGACTTGAGAGATCAGGGAAAGCTTCTTGGAGATAAGTCATGACTAAGCTGGGCCTTAAGGTAAATACTACTTAACATGGAAAGAGTCAAAAAAAAGGTTCTAGGCAAAGGTAATAAATGTGGGAAACAAAGGCGAAAGAAAAATTAAATTTCCTTACTACCTACAGCCCATTGACAAGTCCCTGAAACAAGCAGAGTGCCCTTCCCCTGGGGACTCAGCTGCCTTAATGTTAATACTTTGCTAAGGGCAAAAGTCAGTCTTAGCCCAGCTACCCAGGATCCTGTGAGTCTACTTCAACAACTAAAAACGCCCTTGGAAACTTCCTCCATCTCAACCACTCTCTCCCGAGGTACATGTTGGCAATCATCCCCCAAGCCTATGACCCACCGATATCCATCCGAAGGGTCTCATGACGGAGTTTTTACTGAACAGTAACGAGTGACCTTTTCCTAACAACAGCGAGCCCCCTCAAGGCCCTGGAAACCCTGCTTCCAAAGTACCTTAGAGACTCTAACCCCCTCCCAACTTGAAAGCCTGTAATGGACCACTTCTCCCAGTACAGCTCTTACAGCCCAGGGGTCCTGTCCCCGTGGTTTAATAAAACCACCTTATTTGCACCGAAGAGGTCTCAAGAATTCTTTCTGGGGCGCCTGAGTGGCTCAGTTACGGGGCTGCCTTCGGTTCAGGTCATGATCTCACGGTCCTGGGATCCGTCCCCGCCCTTGGCTCTCTGCTCAGCAGAGTCGGCCTCTCCCTCTGCCCCTCCCACCGCTCAGGCGGGCGCGCTCTCGCTGTCTCTGAGATAAATCAAATCTTTAAAAAAAAAAAAAAAAAAAAATCCTTCCCAGCCGTGGGCTCCAAACCCCAAACCTTTTCTACACCATTAAGTATCTTCACAAGGGACGCAAGGCAAGAGAGAACGCCCACTGGAGAAAGCGCAAGGTGGATGCCCGGTAACAACTTGTGGGGCAGGAAAGAGGGTGGGAGGAGACGAGCCGGGAAAGATGGGCAGCGGCCACCCCAGGAAGCTGGGAGACTTCCAAGCTCCCGCTCTGGAGCACAGAACTCTGCCTCCCCCACCCACTGCGAAGCGCTCAGGTCCCGACCCCGACCCGCCCGAGGAGGGGCCCCGCCCCGCCCGCAGCGCACGTGGGGGAAGCCCCCAGCGCCGCGCCTCCGCCCGGCCGCGCGCCCCCTCACCAGCACTCGGGCCCCGCCGCCGTGCCGGGGGGGCTCTCCGCGGCGCTCTCCTCCGCGGGCGGCTCGAAGAAGGAGTTCAGCGCTCTCTGGAAAACACACACAGCGGTGAGACCTGGGCGCGCCGAGGCCCGAGGCGAGGAGGAGGAAGAGAGAGCAACGAAGCTTACTTCCATCTCCCAGTCGTTCTCCGCCAGGTAGCACTGAGCCACGGCGGGGTCGCACTCCGCGACCGAGGCAAACTCCACGCACAGAAGCCGCCGCTTCTTCACCTCGGACTCGCCCTCTGCCCGCTCCGCCTCCGAGCCGCTTAGCCGCTCCATGGGCTCGCCCGGGGCCCCCGCGCCCCCCCGCAGCGGCGGAGAGCCGACGCCCGGATCTGCGCAGGCGCCCGCCGGTCCGGCGCTCCCACCTCAACCACCCGGGCGGAAACGCGCTCCGCCCTCGGAGTGCGATAGGCGGGATTGCGCCACGGGCGAGCAGGCCAGGGCGGGGCCGGGGGCCACGGCGCGTGCGCGGTCACAACGCAGGTGGGGGCGGGACGTGAAAGCGCGAGCCGGTGGGCCGCTGGCGGTGAGTACAAGAGGCGCCAGACGCCGAGCTCCGAGCGGGCGGAGAGGACGCGGCTGTCTTTACCTTGCCTGTCCTTACCCCTTCGCGGACTTCGGGGTTCCCCCCGACTCAACCCAAGCCTCCCTCTTGCGTTGTGTCCAGAAGCCGGAGCGGTCCACGATGAGCCGCTTGACCCAGAACTTGCTGGAGGTGATGAAGTCGATGGCCCGTGTCCCCGGTTTTGACAGAGTTTTGGAAAAGGTACTGCCGTGGGAGCGCCGGCTTCTAGAGAAAGCGCGATGCTCGGGGTTCTCTCTCGCTAGATCCCGCTGGACTGCCCGGGAACGTCACTTGATAGCGGTGATGACTGCTGTCCTGGAGCGCCCTGTGTGTTAGGTCAGGCGCCTGGTTTCTTTCACGGCAGTGTGTGCTATGAAGTTCAGATCTGCCTCGATTTAGGATTGGGTTCCTTCCAGATTAAACCCCTGCCGGGTGGAAACACGGTAGATGGAAAGTGTGTGCGATACACCTAGCCTCGTCGCTTAGCCTCGCCTGCCCCATGGGCTCAGATCACTTCTTAGCCTGCAGTTGGGCAAAATCATGGAACGCAAAGCCAATTCTGTAGAAGGTGTTGAATATCTCTTTAGTTTATTGAATACTGTACTGAAAGGGGAAAACGGAATGGTTGTTTAGGTATAGAATAATTTCCTTCCTTCCTAGAGAACGCCAGCGAGGAGGGGGAGAGGGAGAGAGAGAGAATCTTACGCAGGCTCCAGGCCCGGCACAGAGCCCAGGCAGGGCTCGATCTCACGTGAGATCTGTGGTCATGACCTGAGTAGAAATCAAGAGTCCCGGGCTTAACCTACGGAGGCACCCAGGCACCCCTAGTTACGGTATAATTTTAAGCAGAGTTGCTAGCCCTCCAGCTGTCGGGGCTGACTGGGAGCTGCCGCTCACTGCCACTGCCCTGCATCTGGCAAGCATGTACTGCATGTGACTAGCTTGGGTTAAGATGGAAATTCAAAATTCGAAGTTTCTACTGAATGTGTAATGCTGTCACACCATTATAAAGTTGAGAAATCTTAAGTCAAACCGTCGTCAGTCGGGGAATGTTTAAGTGATTCTCACTTGTGGAGACAATTTCTTGATTTCAGAGAGGGAAAGGACTTTAAAGCTTGGCCTTCAACATACAGATGCCAGTAGTGCTCTGAGGAAAAGAGTAAGGACAATGTCTGCACTTAAGATGCACTTGCAGCCTAGAGGATTAGAAAATAAATAATTGCAGAAAGGTGGGAAAGCCAGATTCCGGGTAGAGGGGTGCTTTGGAGTCAGGCAGGGATAGCCTCTGTCTCCTTGGCACATGAACAGACTAGCCCAGATTCCTAGTTTTCGGTGTCTTTGTAGAAATCGTCTTACCTAGGAATCATTTATAAATAAACATGAATAACAGAAGCCCTTGGTTATATCAGATTTGGAAGACATTTGACAGCCAAAGAACTTCTAGGCTTTTTCCTAAATATTTTAAGTATGCATGGCTGTTTTCCTTTTAGAGAGACAGGTGGGTCAGGGAGAGACTGAAGGAGAGAGAGAGAATCTTAATTTAGCAGGCTCCATGCCCAGTGCAGAGCCGGATGTGGGATTTGACCTAACAGCCCCAGGATCATGACCTGACCTGAAATCAAGAGTCAGATGCTTAACCGATGGAGCCACCCAGGCACTCTTGCCTGTTTTACTTCTGATTAGGAAAGAGGATTGGGAACTTTGCAAATACATAATTTAAAAGTGGAGTTTAAACAGACTAACTGCTGTCACTTGTAAGAAGAATGTAGGCCGTTGGACCAAAGTCTTCCTCCTGGAAACAACATTTGGGCTACATTTTCAGTATTTCAATCATTATAGCCAAGGGCTTTTGTGAAGAACATAGGAAATCATACTCAAATGCATTCAGTGTTTTCAAATAGCAAACACTATAAAATCCAAGGATATGCTACTTTTTAACTAACTTTTTGAGAGAGATACATGCAACAAAAGTATTAGACTAAGGGGAGGACTGAATTCCCTAAAAACATCAATAGCCATTTTCACTATTAAACTTTCAACAACCAAATTTTGGGTGTGTCCTCCCCTGATAATCTTGCTGTGGGTTGGATTTGCCTTTGAGTAGTCTGAGAAAAATCTCATACCTTGAACAGTCACACTGTAACAATCATAAACTTCACTTATGCCTGAGTTGGCCTTGGTGGTCCAAGTCTTCCAAGAGGATATGCCTGTTAACCCTGATGTACAGAGTTTCTCAGAAGTTGTAGTAAGATTGAATAGAGGTACCTGTGATTCTAGACCCAGCACTGTCCAGTAGAGATGTAGCACAAGCTACAAATGCAAGCCACACGTATCATTTTATTTATATATGTATATATATACACATATATATAACTATAAAAAAAGCAAAAAGAAATAAGTAAAATTAATTTTACTAATACATTTTAAGCAACTCATTATATTCGAAATTACATTATTTTAGCATGTGATCCACACATGAGTATCCTGTTTGGGGGACTTCATCCTTGAAATCCAGTGTGAATTTTAAACTTAACAGCACATCTGAGTCATACTGGCCGTGTCAAGTGTTCAATACTGACATCAGGCTAGTGGCTACCGTACTAACTGCACAGGTCAGTACCCCTGTAGGTGCTCTGTATTAATTTGATCTAAAATAGGATCTGCGTTTGTGTCTTGTGTGGGCACAGTTGCTTGGGCTAGAATATATATTTATGGTGATGCATAAAGCTAGTTGTGAATTTGGCTCCTTTCCTACTATTGTAAACTTAAATGTAACATGATCTAAACCAGTGTTTCTCAACTAGGGGTAATTTTGTTCCCTGTGGGACATCTCTTTGCGGACGACTGGAGTGGGATGGAAAGGGCACTATGGGGGGCATCTACTAGGTGGAGGCCACAGATACTAACTGTCCTCCCGTGCGCAGGCTCCTTTCCCCCAGCTCCCCACAATAATGAGTCATCCAGTGCACATGTCAACAGTGCTGACATTGAAAAACCTTAATCACTCTCTCTGTTCTGGGTGAAAACTAAGTAAATAGCAAAGTATAAACCTGTCTTTGTGCTGAACTTCGGTTGTTCAGATCATGGAACTTCCTTTTATCCCCTTCGTCTTGGTATGGGATAAAATGTGTTTTTTTCTAAATCTCTAGTTAACATTTTATATTCTCTTTGTTAAAATAACTAGCGTGTTGTTTGTTGCCTCACCAGTCCTTGATTGACGAAATTATTTTATGTCAAATAGTTGTCCCTTTGGTTATTTAAACAGGAAACTAGAGATTTTTCAAGAGAAGAATGTTCATTTTTAAGGATTTAATGCAAGCATATTGTTAAAACTAAATTGGAATAAGGGTATATATGATCTTTTTCAGACACACCTGTGCTCTTATCACTACTTTTGCAAAGATCAGAAGCAATGATGTTTCTTCTTCTTCTTAAGTAGGCTCCATGGCTAGTGTGGAGCACATGTAGGGCCTGAATTCAAGACCTTGAGGTCAAGACCTGGGCTGAGATCAAAAGTCAGACACTCCACGGACTGGGCCACCTAGGCGCCCCTCTTCTTATTACTGAGTGTAAGAAGCAAGTGAGCTGTGCAGTACTATTACTTTAAGTCTGCCCCATTATCCAGGCCTCCAGTGGCCTTACTAACGACCCCAGTAGAGACAACCAGCTCGCCAAAAGAGAGGTGTGTTTTTTTTCTTGATTATATACAAAAGACAATTCTGTCCTGAGTGCTAACCTCTGATTCTTTTGAAGGTCTTTTTGTTCTGTTTTGTTTTTGTCTTTTGAGGAGCAGGGAGGGGCAGAGGGAGAGGAGAGAGTCTAAGCAGACTCCACACTGAGACGTGGAGCCCGACCTGGGATGCGATCCCACAACCCTGAGATCACAACCTGAACCAAAACCAGGAGTCAGACACTCAGCTGACTGAGCCACACAGGCGCGCCATTTTAAATGTTGTGGTTTTTTTTTTTTTTTTAGTCAGTGAATTAAGTAAGATAACACTTGACATTTTTATAATATTTCCATGGAGTTTTGGGTCTTGGACAGATGTTTAGAACCAGCATATAAAATCTGCTAAATGATGATGACTTTCTATTCGTCCAAAACCGATCTGTTGAAGAAGGCACTTTGCACTCAGTCCTGCTTCGGGTGTCAAATTAATGCACAAGATCTTACCTTAGAACATCTTTATTATTTTAAGGCTGTCCTTTGTAAAACAAAAAAACAAAACAAAAAACCTCCGGTTTCTCAGTGTTTATAAACACCCACAAAACCTATCTTTTATAGAACACTAATATATTAGAACGGTCAAATGTCCTACTCTTACTATTAGATCGCCTTAAAATCAGTCAACAAACCCAAGTACTGTGAGATAATGAAGAAATACCAGCCACAGTCCCTTGCCTTCTAGGAGTTTATTATCTAGGAGAGAAGGAAAGTGGGATCCAGGGAACATAGTGCCGTCAGATGTTTCCTGAGAAAAAGAGTCCCATGAATAAAAAAGTTCAGGAAACATTGATGTCGTATCCCCCCTTTTAAAACAAAAATTGCGACAAAATATACATAACATTAAATTTGCCGTTTTAACCATGTTAAAGTATATGATTCAGTATTAACTGCATTCACACTGTCGTGTGACCATCACTACCATCCACCTCCAGAACTCTTCGGGTTGCAAAACTGGAACTCTGTTTTCATTAAGCAATAACTCCATTCCCTTTTCCTCCAGCCATGGCAACACCATGTACCGTCTGTCTCTCTGAATTTGAGTACTCTACGTACTTCATGTAAGTGGAGATGATCTAGCCTTTTTATACATTAAAACATTGACTAGTTCTGCCTAAGTAAACATGCTTCACTTAATCATGTTTAAGTCCCACAGTAACACATGTGGAGGAACATATCTTGGGAATCTCAAGTGAGAGGCACCATGCGAGGGTCTGGAAAGGCTATGTAGAGTCCAACGCGGAAATAAGGGAGTGGAGTTGCGAAGCGAGGTAAAATTGCATAGTCATCCTTATGGAAATGAGATGACGATGTATAAGGAAATGAGATGTCCCAAGAGGAAGAACACAGACTAGAGAGAAGCATTAAGGTTTAGGATTTAATTTTAGTTAAACCTTCATTAAGGTTAGAACCTCAGAGACTACAGGAGTGGGTAAGAAAGTAAGAACAAACCTTATACTGGGTGGCTCAGTTGGCT